CCCCAAAACCCCAAAACCCCAAAACCCCTTATTGATTAAATCGAATTCTTTTTGAGAATATTAAAAATAAACAATTTTTCTAAATATTTATTCACATTAACATATTTAGCTCCATATTCTTTTTATATCTAGTGAGTTTCTACTAAAGTTCTTCGATTAAGAGCTAATCAGCTTTTTATCTCTCAAGCAAAGAAAGCTATAATATCTTGATATGATTTAGGTTGAATATAACAGCAGCAATAAATATCATGATGATAAGCCATAGAATTGGATAAAATAAAATCACATAATGTGCGTAATAGAGAGCATCTCCATTGGTTCTCAACAAAATATCAACATCATAAAACATATAAGTTTGACTTTCAAACATCCCGCACTACTTTGCTGTGTTTGTAGCATAATTACTATGATTCATAGGTATGTAAAATAGAAATCCATAATAAATCATAATCAGAATAAAAGTAACATTCAACAAAATCATGATAAAAAATCCAGTTTAATGGCTATTTGAACTTTATCTTGGCTTTGTCTTGAAATATTTCATATCAAGATAAAAGATTTTGAAGATTAGATACAGAATCAATGGCATAAATAATGTGATATACGGAAAGAACCCAACAGATAGCCAATAGATTGATTGATAGTAAATAACCCACACAATGGATTAAGAAACTTAATATTCTTTCCGCCATGCTTGTATTCTCTTACATCTGTAGAGAATGTAAAATACTAAAGCTTTAATCATATATATCAATGGCGTCACTACTGACTCAGTTAAAAGCTAAATCAATTAAAAGTGCTAAAATTTACCAGTTTTACAATATTGAATCCAGCTTAATCTTCTCTACAATCATATGTCTCAGGGAAGAATTTAATGAGAGTGTAGCTTCTAAAGAATTAGCTATTTGAAGCAAGTTCATAATTTAGAACTGCCACAATTATTATGTTGAGGATCTTAGATAAATATAGTCTAACTATTTGCTGATTTATAAGATCCTTTGCGAAGTCCCATTATTCATAGGTAGTAACCTTTTGCAAAGCAGTAGGGATCACAATATTTACGAAGGTCACAACTAACGAGGGTATGAAATTCGCCTAACAAATCATAATGAATGAAAGTAATTACCACGTATTAGATTACACTAATCTCCTTAAAATAGGCAATGATTTCTGTTTCATAAAGATTTGCACCAACAATTGCTGTCCAACCAATGCAAAGAATCATGAAGCTAATGATGAAAGTAGTAATTCTTCGACATAGCAATTTCAATTTATCAGATCTTGACCTATTCTTAATTTTATACTTGATTCTCTCCTCATATACAGTCAATTTCAATTCTCTTTATTTAACTTTTTTCTGCTCATCTCTCTCGATCATATTATCTACACTCCAATCCCATGAATTGAAAAACATTTTTGAAACTACAAAATCCTAATCACCGTTTAGTTTATCCCACTTCATCATTATATCGAATTTCATCCAGGTTCGCATATTGAAAATAAAAACGAGCAGCAAAAATCCAATCAATGTGAATAAGTAAAATAGTTCATAACCATTGGGATACCTGCTATAAAGCATCATACAGGGTATTACCTTTATGCATAAATCAGTTCTTATGTCCCAATTCAAGTAGAAGTAATATCCCTACATTGCTAAAAATATGAAGAATTTTAGAATAGCTAGTCCCACTAGATATCTGAAGAAAATGTAAAAACTCTCTATTGACTTATCATATCGTTGCTATATTAATATATTATGATATTTCTATGATTACCCCAATCCTTTTTACATCCATAGCTAGAGGGAGATATTTGTCTGCTAATAACTGAAGATAGTCTATTAATTTCTTGCATAAGCTTTTTTTCTTTTTCCCTCCATAAAATTTGATATTAATCTGATCTTCGAGAAGGGAATTTTTAAAAAAATCTCTATCAAACATAGATTAAGCCTAATTCATTTCTTTCTGTATCGACAATGTTGGCAACTTAATTGAACCATTTAGAGGTCGGCTTGAATCATATGATCTTTCTGTTTCAAATCCATCTAATTTTCTTTGATTTTAATCTAAAAGAGTCTGCTTCAATTTATTCTTGAGTTAACTATTGGGTCATTAATACAATTATAATGATGAGCTTACTCAAGATCTTTTACTTTATTTACTAGCTATTCTATCTAAACTTCCTATTTAGCATTCTCTTTCTGAGCTTGCAGTAATTTTTAAGTGAGCTCTTTATTCTTGTTCATAATTGTATTGCTATCTGGCATTGCCATCGGCTAGCGAGTTTGTGATTCCTACTATTAAAATCTTTCAGGATTCATCGGATTTTAATTTTTCTAAAACAGTAAATTATCAATAAGCATTTTACCTATTAAGTTCATTTATATTCATCAGGTAGATTCATTATAACTCTTTCATTGTCAGGGTTAAACATGTTATTTTAAGGAATAATATTCTCTGCTATTTATCTATGATCTCCATCTGCTCCAAAATCATTTAAGTTACCAACATCATCCTTGTTATCATATTTTGGATAATTAAAAGGAGATGGAGGTTTTTTCATTGCTTCTTTTTTCCTTCTTTCAATATCTTATTTCTTCTTATCTTCAATTGCTTTTATATTCTCCCTTATTACATCAAATTCCGTTTTAGGAGGCTATATTGGCTTCTATCTCGGCATCATATCAGGTCTTTGAAGATTTGCCTAATCTAAAGGATCTTACCTTCTCTATCTCATTTTTTACTAACCTGACATTCTGCGAGGATCCTCATTTTTAGCATATACAGTACCTCTCTAGTTAGCATTCTGAGTTTCTCTTGCTTAAGATTACCCTTGATATTATTGAGTAACTGGTTAAACAGGAGGATTGAATTAATTTTGGAAATTATTTTGCTGTGGCTGATCTTATTACTGATACTATTGAGATCATTAATTATTCTAATCTTGCTATTGCATTTGCTGCTATTATTAATGTTGTCGCATCCTTGCTACTGGATCATTGGGATCAGAATTCTTTTTCAAATATTCAATGTCATTACCATGGCGAAGAATGTCTCCCATTCCAATATTATTCAAATTTAACTCTAGATTAATAAAAAATGAGATCATCTAGAAGAACAGGATTTCAGAATATGGGGAAGAAATCAAACTTACTTCTAAAATTAGAGATCTCATTTAACCCCTCCAGGTATGCATTCATATCATTGCCATATTTATCAGAGTGCCGTTTCACATTCGGATCTATTTTTTCTTTTTAGATTTAAGTAAATTATTACCATCATACTCGGGATACATTTATTAAAATTCTATTTTTAATTTATAAGCTTTAAAGTCCAAGCAATAATCTGATTATACAGATGGGGTTTTGGGGTTTTGGGG